AAACATATATGATCAAAGGTACGTAGGATGGTCAAGCAACCAATACGACAACTAGTTAAGGAAACATATATGATCAAAGGTACGTAGGATGGTCATGTAACCATGAGTCACTTACTAAAGTAAAACGACGAAGATTAATCAGAACTGAAKGTTAAGCTCACGAGAAACACCTGTGAATTCCATATATGGGTCACCTTTTTTAATCGCAACCCTCGCCAACTTATCAGCGATTTTGTTGGCATCTCTAGGACACTGACGGATTGTAATTCGGTTTTTGCTAACAAGATGCCTGCTTTTCTTGATCAGCTCCCAGCAGTCACCGACAACACGACTTTTACCAGGGCCAACATCGTCCTCTCTAGTAATCCACTGAACAGCTGCTTGAGAGTCGCTTTCAAGAATGGATTCCTTATAGCGGAGTTTATCCAAAAGCTCCAAGCCTTTAAGAATCCCATGGATTTCAGCCGTTAAACAATCACTCCAACCAATGAACCCTCGAAACCCACGAACCCAGTTGCCATAACTGTCTTGAAGAATTCCGGCGTACCCACTCGGACCTCGCAAAACATCGTCATTCCCGCCGACATATTCATAGTTGGGATGGCATGCACCGTCCGTCTTCAGTTTGAACTTGAACAGACATGGAGGTGCAGAGGAAGAAGTAGTGCCACCGCCACCGCCACGGCCACCGCCACGGCCACGGCCACCGCCACCGCCACCGCCACCGCCACGGCCACGGCCACGGCCACGGCCACCAGAATTAGGCAAGGGAAGGGGAGGCTCTAATCTGTTGTCGGAAAGCATTCTTGAAACACCCCATGCAGCCACCGCAGCGCTGCCAATAGCTACTGCAGGGGCGCCAAGATTGGGACCTYGAGCGGATGTATTAGTTTCCTCCTTGTTCTCACCACGTCCGGTGCTTTTCGAGGCTCCCATGGTTTGTGTACTGTTTTTAGGGTTGCAACTTGCAAGTGAAGAATGATAGAGAAGGTGGATTTATATAGGAGGATTTATCCATTTTATTGATTCACTTTTGATTCTTTCCATTTTATTGATTCATTTTTGACTCTTAATTTGTGTGTACATATTCACTTAAAATAAGAAATACACAATAAAGTAACGAAAAAAGATTTAAAACATAACAGCTTTATTCATGATTAACAAAATAAAATGTTTATTTTTTGATATCATTTGTATTTTTTTAAATATTTCAAATTTTAAAGATAAAATAAGGTGTTTATCTTCAATTCTTTTAATTATGCTTATTATTTATATAAATTTAAATATTAAGTTAAAGAGAATAAATAGTAAATTAAAAAGAATAA